GAAGTGCCGGCTCTGCCTTCATATGCGCATTTGTCGAACAACAATGGAGGAAGAATACAAGATCTCATCGTACAACCATCAATAATAATGAGCGTGTCTGTTAAGAAGCAGCATGCCATTTGCACAACACTCTGAAAGCTCTCGTTACCAATCATCATTTGTCGTTTAATTAACCGCCCAGCAATTTTCGTCATCGCTACCGAAAAAAGGGCAACCATCGCCGTCTTATCCCGGCAGCTATCTCCGTTATCGCTACCACAAAAAAGCAAACAACGCCAGCCGCCTTCGTTTGTTTATTGCGCCTTCGTATAAGAAGACTTACATACTTATAACGAACAAGTAAATATTGTAATTGTTCCAATTCCAATTTCTAGTACATGTGCCGTATCGATCACGAAATCATGAATTAATTTATTTGGCAGTGGAGTTTCAAACAACCACTTCTGTCGTGCGCAGTCTATAGTAGACCGCCAATTGGAAGTTCACTTGTATGCACATGTAATAATCAGTAATGACGTAATAGTATACACTACAATTTGCTACAATTACCTCGTGGCTTTTTGTTTTTAATTAATTTGTGTATGTGAGTATACCGACATGTTGACTAGGGTATCCACCACATCATATCTGCCGGCATCCACCGAATCTTCTCTAATATCCACGAACATATTTGCATATGGGCAGACATCACTAGGTATCCACGGCAATCCTACACGTGTCTAGAGATACCAATAAATTCGACTTTTGATTTGTAGCTTCCCAATTCACAATTAGTTGTACGAAGCGAGTTTTATTTATTTTCAGTTGCGCGATTTAAAAAAAATCAGGATCAGAAAGAATCGACTGTCAGTGGTCCGTTAACTTGGCCCCCCCACTGAGAGATTTGATAGTGATTATTTTAAAACGATTGCGCTCGTTATGCGCTCATATGCGCCACCGATAATAACTCTTGCGCCATTATCGTTTTTTAGAAATCCGAAAAAACATTGAGGGGGGGAGGGGCAAGTGAACGTAGCCCCCCCTCCCCAGTACGTATTTTGTCGCTTGTAACTAGGTCACCTGATACATTTGGTTATGCGCTCAATTGCGCCACTTGAATTAAAGCTAACGCCTACGGTTAAGCCATAAAAAAATTTTCAAAAGTGGAGGGGCTAACTTAGCGTTTTTGTACCTATAGAACTATAACGCTATTCATTTTAAGAAGGTAGCGGTAGAAAGCATATGAACAGGTTGACCTTCACTGTGATTGGTTAAAACACGAGTCAGTATTACCCTGAAAAATAAAACGAGTGACGAATTCTGTCTGTTAGAAGTTTCAATTACGAACTAAACTGTCGAACTGGCATTAGCTGTCAATTTCAAAGATCCAAGCGTGATATCGTTTGATTTATATTTATATTTTTCAAATTTTGTGCCGTTTTATATTTTTCCTGTGTGTGTCGATCTTCAAACACAGCGCCATCTACTACCTTCTTATAATGAATGCAGTTATAATGGTATGCGGTGAAGTTATGTTCTAATTGTGCAATTTTAACTCGGTTTGCAATAATCGCCAATAACTCATAGGTATTAACTTACTTGGTTTGGAGTTGATGCATTATGCCGCAATGTAGTTCATGTATTAACGATCCTCGAGATTGTTTATAATTTTGTACTGCTGTATGTCTGTCCGTCTGCCTGTGCACGATAACTTTGTTTAGAAACGTCCGGTCGCTTTGAAAATTGGTACACATGTTCTTAAGGATATAAGAAAGGTCGCTATTGTTTTTCAGTTACGTAGACTAACGGGCCAAAAAGTTACAGCCCAAAAACTGCCCGAACCTTCAAAGAATGGTATCTTTTATAATAAATTATTGTTATAAAGAACATATAAATGCCCGGTTTTCTGTGTCAGTAAATATTCCTTAAACCACAAACAACTTTGAAGATGAAAAAAATATTTTTGTATTTTAAGATATTTAAATGAAATTTTGTATGTACGCACCTCGAGTAAATGTTAAAGTAATGCTAATGGGAATGCGGAGAAGTCAAAGATATTATTAAGACGATGGATGTTAGTGTTATTTGATTTTATCGTCTGTTAATTTTAATTTAACCCCCCCAACAATGACAAATTTTCAAAAAGTGTTGTAGGGGCTAACTTCACGTTTTCAAAAGTTACGTTTTTAACATCTTTTTTGCCCTACCTTGTACCTTTCACCATGCGCTCAAATGCGCCGTAAGCAGACATGTTTACGCCATTTAGGACCCCTTTGCAGTATACACTGTGTCCAAGATATACACATCCGAAACTATACAAGATATGACGCAATTGAGCGCATAACCAGATGTATCGAGTGGCACAAATACCGGTACAAAATGCGTTATGGGGGTTCCGTTCACTTGGCCCCTCCCAAATATATTTAAGGATAACCAAAAAACAAAAATGGCGCAAAGATATATTTTACGGCGCATTTTAGCGCATACCCGGGAGTACAATTTCGTATGAAAAGATGTTAAAAAAAGTAACTTTTAAAAACGTTCAGTTGGCCCCCCACTTTTTTAAAATTTGTCACGGCTTAACCGTAATGGCGCTAGCTTTAATTCAAGTGGCGCAATTGAGCGCATAACCAAATGTATCAGGTGACCTAGATACAAGCGACAAAATACGTAGGGGGGGGGGGCTACGTTCACTTGCCCCCCCCCAAATGTTTTTTCAGATTTCGAAAAAACTATAATGGCGCAAGAGTTATTATCGGTGGCGCATAACGAGCGCAGTGGGGGGGCCAAGTTAACGGACCCGTTTAAAACACGCCTGAGCGTGCAAAAAAACAAGCGATTAAAGCCCGCATGTTTTAAAGGGTGCTTCAAATTAACGTATGATTGTAGTAGCCATCCTTCGTTTGAAGCTTTTACAAACGCGTAATTTAGAGTATACCTCCAAATCTGTTCCATTTTTAATCGCAGCATTTAATTTCCTTCATAGCATTGTCGATGCATTTAAGGCTTTGTTCGTAAGATGCTTCTTGTTATCGACCACCAACAACTTTTCATATTGTTTTGTAGTAGGCTGTAATGGATTTTGTAGGTAGCGACTTTTCCTCTGCTTCTGCAACAAACCACTGAATGGAGGGTATTTTCCAACCCAAATTCATTTTATTTCTAAAGACGGTGATTTTTATAAACAAATTTCGAGTACCATTTCCATGGCGATCATGGAATTTCGAATAAGCGGTACACTTAATCAGAATTGCATTCGAGTCGATATGATTTTATTTTATTTCCCTTATTTTTAAAAACTTGATTATCACTCGTTTCTTAATATACTATTTGTCAATGCCACTAAACTTAATGATTTCCCCCTTCTTGTCACTATAAATAGCACTTCGAAATGTCAGGAAAATTATAAATCTAGATGAAATGCAATAAACGAGTTAGGTACCTACTAGAAAAAGTAATTGTACCCTCTGCGGCCTTGTCTCTCAAAAAACAGGGGCCTTCAGCTTCATGTTTAAATACCTAACCTTTCATCCGGAAAATGAGTAAAAAAATTACGTTCGTCATTTCAAATTATCCGTTGAAATCAGCGAGGACTAACCCTGTTGAAAACGAGACGATTACTTCAAAGCAAAAGAGAAACCGTCATTTATATTCTTTATAAACACTTTATATTTCTAATCTCGCTATGTTACGACTGAATTTTGAATGTTGATCCTTGAAAACAGGAAATAAATTACAATACTGCAAAAAATTAACCGAATTATTATTATTATATAACTTATTGCGCATGCGGAAGCTCAAAAGCCAAAGTAGAACTGGTATCTGTAGACACTAGTGGAAATCTGGGGAATTCTTCGGATATACTAGGGATATCTACCAGGTACTGTGTACACAGGAAATGTACTGAGATTTCCCCCTCGTAGAAACCAAACATACGGATATCAAAATCATTAGCAAAGAAATGTATGTACGTTAGTCACTTTGGACCAGCCGGTTTCTTGCAACAATGTATCAGGCCTTTGGACGGGCGGCTAATTGCAAAACGAAATGTATTGATCATAAATCATCGCTAATTGTTGACCGATACTTCGGTCATTCAACCACTCGCTAAATAAACAATCTAGATAACGCAAATTCATGCTAATTTCGTCACAGTTCACCATTTCGGCAAACGTGAAAATCACGTGTCACTGTTTTCGACTCACGACGTCAAATCTGGACGTCATAAACGCGGCTCTTTATTTATGTCTGCGACTAACGCAATGACGATTAAAAACCCACCACGAGTTTAACACGTTACAATTGATCTAAATTAAATTAGATCACCACCAAACTCAGCGGCCCTATCCCAATTTATCGTTAGAAAATTCGTGTTGTCTAATTTACTCAAAATTGTTTGTTTTCGACGGCAAAGGTTAAATCAAGTTTAATTTTAAATCAGCCCTGAAACATGCACTCTATTTATATAACCGAATTATCCGCTACACGTCAATTTGAGTTTGCTGGAATTCTGGAAACTGTAGAAAGTGAAAGTAGACAAAGATGCGTAGCGCACACATTCGCCGGTTGTGGACCGGGTACCTAATAATTAGTGGTACCTGCGAATGTGTCGCATCGATTTGGGCGAAATTGGAACAGGAAATGCGTACGACCGTGCAAGTTGTCTTCGCAATGATAAGGAGAAATTCGAAAATAAATGCAGTGCGGCGCGTTATCAGTGACCTACACTAACAGTGTGCGGTTTAAGCAAATATAGCAAAAGTTGTATACATGCAGGTGGTAAAAGCGTACTTATACACAGACCTGGCGGCGGCGGTGGTGACGATAAAGAATGTTGTAGTCTGCAAATGTTAAAACAAACGTCGCGACGCTGAACGTCTCTAGATAACGGCAGGCGTCCGCACAAGTCGGTTACGTTCACAACACTCACCCAACAAGGGCATATCAAGGTCGTGAATCTGACCGAGGCGCCTCTTACGGTTATATTGGACGCCTCACTATGTACGACGAGTGCTTTCTCGTTTTAACTTCGTAGGCGACTTTCCACAATACACTTTTTTATATAAAGTAAAGCGGTCCTTGAAACCGGTTGTTATTAAAATCCTATACGAAATATGCAGAGCGGCGTGAGATGCGCGCCGGCGTCGCGACGCCGCCGCTCGCGAACATATGATCGAAACGCGGACGTAACCTCAACAATTGCACGCAATGAAAAACCTCCGGTTTTGGACGCGTTTCGTGTCATACTTGGTAATAATGCTAATTATCGCACAGTTATTGTTAATGTATAAGCGCAATTGGTTTTGCACGAGCCTCGAGCCCCGACGACACATTAATAAAATGGTGAGTAAAACTCGCATTTCTTCTCCCGTTTAAGAAGTAGATCAGGGTTAATTAAAGCTAATTCGATTGCAATGTACGCGCAACCTCATTGTTTTACATTCAAAAAGTGATAATACGATGGAAATTCGTGCATATGCATTTTAATATCGTGGGAACGCATTGAAGCGTGTTTCACTGCAGTCCATTGTGATACCCGTATCTAATTCGATTAGTTAAATAAGTATACGATCCATGACCATATTTATTGATATTTTCGGTTTGTTTTACTGTTTTTCACTGGGGTTGGATTGCGAAAAGTAACCAGCCAAGCAGCATTTACCACCAACAATTAGTTGGTTGTGCACCAGTAATCTCGTCAGGGGCGGATGGGACCGGCGGGATACCGGGAACTTTCCCGGTGGGCCGGTAGGATCCATAAGCGCATCACCCAAATCAAAACACAAAACAGAGATAAATCCAGGCTACGCCGCCACTTGCAAAGGATTAATTTAATTAATGTTCTCTAAGGGTACAGTGCAAATAAAAAATTATCAAAGTGATCTTGTTATGAAGGCTACTAGATTCCCACCTCCGACGTCCCGTTCACCCGCAATTCGTATTTTGGTGGATTTTCCTAAAAACCCTCCACAAAATAGTATTCAATTTTAGAGGCATTTCTCATAACTCCAGCTTCTATTGGCGACACGATCACCGCGATTCGAGCTCTTAAGAAACTTTTGGGTCCCAAAGTCCCTCGAAGGCGCGGGCCTTACAAAGCAATCGGACCAAAACTGTAGAAGAAGATAGGAAAAATCACCACGTTAGTACAACACGCTTCGGGATGGCGCCCAGATGTCGCCGACCGCATCATATAGCCCCATCCCTTAAGTTGTTAATTACACGACTCCCGTAGGTACATGACTACATGTACACTCCTAGTCTTCCTCCAAGCGTTTTTGACATGACATACCCTCATTTGCTTCCAGCAAGCCAGCAAGCTAGCCAGCCACCCAAGTAAGATTAAAAGCTACCACATTTGACACATAAATTTGCAAAAATGCGCTAAAAATGAAATAACTTAAATTCACATAATTTCCCTGATATTAAAAATGGAGTATTACTGTATTACCCAGTAATCTGTCGGGGGCAACCACAATTGGGCTTGACAAAAATGTATAAAAATTGAGAAAGAAGAAGAATCGGCGATAAAGAGCGAAGACAGTTGTGACGCAATCTTTTCGGGAAATACGACATGTTTGTTGGAGAACATTCTAGAATACTCGGGAGCTTTCGTTTGCTATATAAGCATATAGAATTGCGGTTCGGTCAGTTCCAATTTCAACGTCGAAGTAATGAAAATTCGCGTTTATACTCGTAGTTACTGATGTAAATTTATCCATTTTAAGACATAAATTAATTAATTAATTGTGAATAAATAAATTACGTACTTACATTTACGTTCCAATATTCGGCACGCGCTTATGCCTATCAATACCTATTAACTTATTCGTTCGCAATTCTGAAATGTATACAAAATCGATTAAGGAACAGATTGTGTAACAATAATCTAGAAGCACTTTTGTTGTTAGGAAATAATTATCAACAATCAGTGCTAGAAAAAGCATTAATTTTAAGTTAGGGCGCATTGAGTACCCCCTCCCCCATCCGCTAAGTGGGCCGATAGTCAAGTATATTTCATGGACCGGTCTATGGTTCCCCATCCACCTCTGATTCGCTGATAATGAAGAATTATGTGTGTGAAAATACACCACCCCTTTGACTGATCTACAAAATGTTGAATTGTTTGTTTATCGTTTTATCGCGTTCGGTCGTTAGTTTGCTTGCAACGACAGAACATTTTTGCTCGTTTTCAAAATGGGCGGTATAAGTAGATAGTAATCCACATATACTGCCCTAACTTTAAAAATTGAACATATTGCTATTTGTATCATTTGTTAGCGTATTTTCTTCAAAGTGAAAAATCACTATGGGCTACACTTTGTCATCCGTCCGTCCGTCACACCACAGATATATTATCTGTGGTCACACGTACTCCTTCTACACCACTGAACCGATTTGGGCGATATGTGGCTCATTTGAAAGGGCTTGGTACCGATATTTTTTGGTTTTGCGCATGCGCAGTGTCGAAAATTTTGATTAACGCATGTGCAACTTTTACATACGACAACCAATTGACCTCAGATTTTGCATACGCATGCCTTTAGTGGTGCCAAGTTAAACTTTAGAAAATGGGGGAGGGGGGTGGTAAACACATGTTCTACCCTTCATGGTATTCTAATGAAAGGTCTTATCGACATAAATTGGTTTGTACAAACTATAACTTTCCCGCGCGACTCGAGGGGGGGGGGTTAAAAATTAATTTTATCTCTCAGTGTATTCTAATGAAAGGCTCAACGAAAGGGACAGTTTTCTACAAACTACTGCCCTTCTTTCTGTCTTCTTATCAAAGTAAGGGATGGTGGAGGAAGGGGGGGGGGGGGGGAAAGTGGAACTAGTTTTGGTACTCTAATGAAAGGTCTCAACGAAAGGAATTAATTTGTACTAACCATAGTCTTCCTCCCTTGTCGTGATCGGTTATAATTCCTTGTATCTTAAGAGTGAATTGTCAAAGTAAAGTAACTACAAAGAGCGATTAGGACGTTTGGAAGAAAGAATATAACCATTGGGCATTTAAATAACATTTGATACATAGCCACTTGGAATAAAACCAAATTTAACGCCAGTTTCAAAATTTCGTTTTGCGCATGCGCAGTGCCAACTTTATTTATGGAAGAAATTTCTTAGGGGTGTTTAAAAAAATGCGCTTTACCTGCACAGGGGTTGTGCACATTTTGTACTTGTTATTAAACTGTATAGACTTCGACGATAGGCGTCTCATTTGAAAGAGAATGGGGTAAGGATCTCGTGCCTACCGGTATTTTGCCCTGGTCCTAGCATTAATATTATTAGGAGGAAATACGCTCTCGTCATTTATGTTGGCATAATGACTTTTTAAACTTGTTTTGACTACTAGCCTATGGTGATTATGATTATTAACTTTTTTTTTCATTTGTAAAGTTGACTTTCTCGACAGCTTTTAAAAATGGGTAGGTAATAATGAAGTGATTATTAACCAGCAGCCAACAATGTCACTCAATAAACGTTTAGACAAGTTCTCTAAAATCAATTATTGTAATTGTAACTCCCTTCATTTTCAGAGAGATAACATACTTAAAACTGTCAAATTTTGAAAAGTGTACCGAATTGCTCTTTGAAAATATGTCAATGAGCAAAATATTGCCTGCTTATCTTTTACTTCAATGCACTTGATTGACATGTAAAATTAGTAAACAAAAAATTCTGTTGATAGTCATATCTAACGCTAGAAATCCCAACTAACGGCTAGTTCTGATTTTTTCATCTGTTATTGCGACCACTACCAGTATAGTGTATATCCAAGTTTGCAGCTTCAAAACTTGCCACTCTGGTTTGACTGTTGAGTGTTGACGATTAAATACGAATTCCAAAATACAAACTACGTCTATCTAATTCCATTCGTCTTTACATCCTGCAAGAAAAATTGAAAACTGGATCGCTTTGGGGGTGATACAGCGATCTTTTGTGACTCGCCCTGTTTCTATAATTTTTTAGAGCTTTTAATAGCATTTAAGCATATTTAGTTTTCAACAAATCTTAAGCGTCGTCATGGGTGTCTTGGAGGCTCCTTGATACTTGAAGAGCTTTTAAGATCACTTAAGACCTTTTATTACCTAGTCCTTAAAAGTCATTAAGAATCATAATAAACTTTAAAAACCACAAAAAAGTTATAGGGAGCTTTATTGATCTTTAAGAGTACTTAAGAGCTTTCGTGAGTCGTCAATTGTTTTTTTTTCAAGAGTTTCAATAGTCTCACAGCCTTTTAGGGTCTATAAAAGTAGTCTAAATATTCATAGTTTTTAAAGAGTATCCATGAGCCTTTTTAAGAGTTTCCAATTGATTTAAAGGATCTTCTCAGGAATACAGAGCCCTTAGGCCTTTAAGTCTTTAACCCGAGCACCATATCCATATAACGCATGACATGAAGCAATCTTAATTTATTTTTGCTTTTGAGTGCCCGTATTAGTCGTTAAAGATGTAACAATCTGAGTTTTCTTCGGGTGACTATGAATGAATTAATTCCGAACGTGGATGAAATCTACAAAGGACTCAACCAGGATTATCGCCAGCACACCATTAGAAATGTGCTGAATTATTTGTTTCTTTGAGAATCAGTCACGTTCACGATAATTATTGCAACATCAGCATTATAATAAAAAAATATCGATAAGAGCCTGAACTATAGTAGATAATTATAATAATAGTAATTTAGAAAGAGGCGTGGTTAAACGTCATGATGCCTTAAATGTTTATTATAGATTTGGATCTATGGAGAAATTTGGCACATGACTTCTAATATGAAGGGTCGTGTAACGCCATCTTATTTCGTACGTGCAAAGCATAACGAGATAGTTGCTCCAGACGTCGACTACCTACCTACCATGACCTGGAAGTCATACAAAGAACCAAAATAATTGTTGTCAATAAGTAATTGAAGAGCAATTAAATTATGCACAATCATTAAGCTTAAGCGAATCTTAATTATCTCATATATTTTCCAGTTAAATGCCATCTGAACTGTCGTGACCTATGTTTATTAATATTTTATTGGCATCGAAAAGTTATCTGCATTCACCTTATACGACACGGTCTGCAAGTTGCTCTCTTCAGCTGTGATTTAGATGTACATCGACTTTTAGACCACCCTACGTATGGCCGCCTGCAAAAAAATCTTTTATTGTACTTTATCAAACCAACCACAAAATAATGGGTCAACAAGATTTGGCCCAATTGCAGCATATAAAAATGAGTGTTACCAAAGTCGCGATATAACCTTGATTAATTTAGCACGTAGTTTGTACTATTATTAAAGTAGTAAAGGTAATTTTTATTTATTTTTAGGATTATTAAACGGTCATTAAGTA